GTGCATGCATGGCCAAAAAACCAGCCACAATCCATGCTGCCTTTACTCTATGCAGTAGTAAAGGGCGAGGGAAGGAAATGGGGTTGTTTCAGAAATGAAACCGAGGGGAAAAGACCTGAGAAAGCAAACCTACACTGGCAAAAGAAAAACTATTTAAAATAATCCTATGTCAAAGACATATTACTTGGAGGAAGAAACAGAAGCTGCAGGAATCTTAAGCAGGGAAGATTTCAGTCTGCAGGGTTAAGTTTTGAATGCCAGCAGGCATGGCTACAGCATATCTAAATAGCTTATTTGATAAAGAGGTGGTTTAGCTGAAGCATCGTTTCCCAGCACTTGGCTCATAAACAACAGGAACATACAGAGAAAAATAGGTCAAAAAAAAGACACAAACAGTCAGGCCAACCAGTATATATTTCACCCAAAGCAATTGTTTTCAAAATTTACTGAGATCTTCTCTCTCCCATTACTTCTTCTCCTGGAGTCCATGATTCTACTTGCATGTCCACAGACAGCAACCTACCAAGCATCCGCTTCTACATTGGTTTGATTTGCACTCCCTGCTCGACAGCACCTTTTTCTCCCATTCCTCAATTCCAAGCCAAATAATATTAGCTCAGACAGTCAGCAGCACCAGTTTCCAAATGCATTGCCAGGTCTCAGTTCTCTCACATCTTCTCCCTTCTGTGATTACCTCGGGTGTCCCTCTTGATCTTTTCATCAAGGTTATATGTAAGCAGATTCCTTCTAAAGTTTCACTCTCTAAAACACAGATTCTTCCAGATTGCTAAAACTGTCACCCAGGCTCATATCACTGTTTATCTCAATTACTGCAACGTTTTCCCTCAGCCTGGCCAAATGTAGTCTGTCATCGTTGGTATCCATTCAAAATGCTCCTGTGAAGTTAATTTTCTGAGCCCATCATCTGCCTGTGTCACTCTGACCTATCCATCCATCCATTGGATACCCTTTCCCTCCCTCACCAGTTACAGTACTAGTAAGTACTAGTAGTTACAGTAACTACTTTCATTTCCAAGAAATTTCAAAGTCTAATTCATTCCCCTTCAGCCCTCTCTAAGCATTTCTTATTCCATCCAAAAGCTCATTATGCTTGTCCTCTATGTCTGCCTTGTTAAATGCGAGGATCTTTGTTCTTCTTTCTGTGCCATACTTCCCTGTAAACATCCCTGAATGAATAGTATGAGACAATTGAAAATATTACATTCATTGTCAGAATCCAAGATTAGAAGCACCAAGGTTCTGAATTCAAAATGCTGTAACAGTAAGGCTGGGTGAATAATTTACAGCATGGAATTTACTTAATGAATTTTGCTTAATTTTCTGTTTACAAAATGGTGAATTTGGTATTGAGAAGTACTCACCAAATAATCTTTGCAAATTATTCTTGCCATGTTGCTTAAAAACAAGCAAATTTGAAAATTGGTCTGTTTTGATGTATATACAGGTCACATGATAAATTTCTGTAGCCTAGTTACAGGGGTGTATCTTAGAGGCAGGCTGTGGGTACCAATACCAGTGATTACATATCTAAAATTCACTGCCTGACAATAACTTCTAAAATTATAGTTGTTGTGGTGGTGATCATTCGTAGCAATAAACTTAGCTTCCAGAATATCATCTGATACAGATGAAAAAGATACAAACACATGAGCTATTTTTATTTTAAAATTCTTTTTCAGAAGAATTGTCATTTTATTTTAAGCCTGATTTTCTAAGGAAAAGAAAAAAGGTTCATTGCCCGAGTTTTGTCTTTCTGTAATGCTCAACTGAGTCATTTTCACCTAACCCCACAGTAACTTTTTTAGACTTCTGGTAAAAAAAAAATTAAAAAAAAAATTGGAGGGAGAAAAAAGGTACATAGAGCTCCAAAATAGCCACAGTGCACACTGCCTTGCTCATGGATAGGCTGTGGAGGGAAGCAGGGGATGTGTAGGGAGGCTCAGGGGACATGGGGGAGTAGGGAGATGGAGGAAAACCCAGGATGAAAGGATCTGAGAAAGAACTGGCTATATTAAGGCAGTAACAGTGGAGAAAGGGTATTAGAGGTGTAAGACATTCTTCCATAGAAAAATAGGTCTTGTTTATTCCTCTGCTCATAGCATTACATGGGGGTCTTAATTTTTGGAGTGTTTATTCATTTTCTGAATGCATAAATCTTATCTTGCCTATCTCAGCAGCCATCATCTTATTTCACTGGTCAGGACAGTATTTCC